CCCAAACCCAGAGAATGAGGCAGCTGGGAAAGAGAGAAGGATGTGGGAATAGTAATGAGAACAAGGGCACCAGGCAGGAAGCATGCTGAAGTGGAGGACCTGGAAGAGATGTGTTTAGGGTGCGTATGTAACCATCAGAGGGAACTGAAGAAAGTAAGTTCACTAAGGACATTTTAGGCCACTTCCCGTAACACTGCATTCTGAGTGTTATGGGAAGCCATCAGCGAGTTCAATACAAGAGTGAAATAGGCAGCGTAGGCTTTAATCATTTTCATTTTACAGATTATGTTACCAAAGCTCAGAGATGTGAATTCATGCAAGATACACAATAAAGGGCAGAAAACAAAGATAATTTAACTGTTAATGTAATATTCTTTGAACTTGATATTTTGATTGTTGATCTTTATGATGCACTCTACCAGATGCTGGGAACTCAAATTCATGTTTGTCACATTTGCTGCCTCTAACTCATTAGCATAGCAAACATATACAGGAAAAGCTGAAATCCCCTTGTAAGGAGGAGTGGTGTCATCTTGTGGCTTTCTCTATCCATTCTACTATATTAGCAGAAAACTAAGTCTTTTTTCAGGAAAAGACATAGGTGAGTGAAAGAGTAATCTTCATAAAAATTAATACTACAATATGACTTTCTCTTTAGCGGCAAAATCAATTTTGACATAATTATTTAAGATTTTATTCTCCACAAAAGCAAATTAGCGAGGTAGAGCACGCGCCGCGTCCTGCAGTTCATCTCCTCGATCGCTCTCCTCACGCTTTACGTTGAATTAAAGAAAGCACTTTCTCAGAAGAAGATGGCCACTGTACAGTTGCAGAGGACTTCCATGAGCACATTGGTATTTCCCAATAAAATATCAACTGAGCAGCAGTCTTTGGTGTTAGTGAAGAGGCTCCTAGCAGTTTCAGTATCCTGCATCACGTATTTGAGAGGAATATTTCCAGAGTGTGCTTATGGAACAAGATATCTAGATGATCTTTGTGTCAAAATTCTCAGAGAAGATAAAAATTGTCCAGGATCTACACAGTTAGTGAAATGGATGCTAGGGTGCTATGATGCTTTACAGAAAAAATATCTAAGGATGGTCATTTTAGCTGTGTACACCAATCCAGAAGACCCTCAGACAATTTCAGAATATTACCAGTTTAAATTCAAGTACACCAAAAATGGACCAATAATGGACTTTGTAAGTAAAAATCAAAGCAGTGAATCTAGTATGTCATCTGCTGACACCAAGAAAGCAAGTATTCTCCTCATCCGAAAGATTTATATTCTAATGCAAAATCTGGGACCTTTACCAAATGATGTTTGCTTGACCATGAAACTGTTTTACTATGATGAAGTTACACCCCCAGATTACCAACCTCCTGGTTTTAAGGATGGTGATTGTGAAGGACTCATATTTGAAGGAGACCCTATGTACTTAAATGTAGGAGAAGTCCCAACACCTTTTCATACCTTCAAAGTAAAAGTGACCACTGAGAAAGAACGAATGGAAAATATTGATTCAACTATGATATTTTCAAAAGAATTAAAAACACCTCTTGAGAAAATGCTGGTGGATAAAGATGCAGAAGATGAACGGGAGCAGTATATAAGTGATGATTTTGACTTTGAAACTAAAATGGAAGAACAGAAAAAAAACCCAAGAGCTTCTAAAATGGGAGAACCAAATTTAATTATTGAGGAAGATGAAGTCATGAGGTGTAAAGAAAGTCCAAATCTTTCAATTTCTCATTCTCAGGTTGAGGAGTTAGTCAATGAAACATCTGAACTTGATGTTTCTGAAAGCAAAACACGAAGTGGAAAAGTCTTTCAAAATAAAATGGCACATGGAAACCAACCAGTTAAATCTAAAGAAACTAGAAAGAGAGCTCAAGCTGCATCTGGGAAAAGAGTCTTCCATCACTTTGATTTTTCTAGTCAAGAGTCTGTGCCAAAAAGGAGAAAGTTCAGTGAACCAAAGGAGCATGTGTAAAACTACTCTTTCTT